CACACACACACACACACACACACACACACACACACACACACACACTATTACTCCCTGTTTGCATTGATTTATTTACCGTAATTTAACCAGGCAAGTCCTGCTGATGTCTTTTTTAAGGGCAGCCTGGGCCTGAAGACAACCTATTCTACATGTTTTGGGGGGTAGGAAAACCAGAGTACCCGGAGAAAACCCACACAAGCATGAGGAGAACACGCAAACTAAACACAGAAAGACCCCAGGTCTGAACCGGGGATCGAACCCAGGACCTTCCTGCTGTGAGGCATAGGTGCTAACCATTGAGCCATCGTGCCACCATTTATGAAGTCAGGGTTAATACTTTTCTTATATAACTAGAATAAAGTTAATTTCTTCACCTGCTTCATCCTGGAAACAGGTGCAGCACAAGCTCTAGGTTATAAAAACATTTCTGTTCATCTGCCACAAGATAAGCTGATTAAGAATTCAACCTACAAATCTGTGTGTTCTTAGCAAACAAATGATTTTTTATAAAATGATGAAGTCTGGTCTGATCAGAAAAATGACTAACTTTAGTTGTTGCCACAGCTACAGTCACAGGTTCAGTTTGAAGCCATTAGACTTTAACTGTCTGAGGTTACCAGGAAACGATGGTAAGACGACAGCAGACGAACAAGTAACTTATTTACACTCTCATGTATAAAACAGGATAAAAACTGGAGAAACTATAAGTGCAGGAAGATATTTACTGAAGAAACTGAAACCGAGTTGTATGAGGCACCACATTATTTAGCCCTCTGTTTTTACATTTAGCTAAAATTGACTAAATATTAAAAAACATTTAAAATATATTTAAATAATAAATACTAAATCCAAATGTTTAAATCTAAATGTAAAAGTTAAACCTTAAATGTTGAAGTTGACATTTAAGTATTTTGGAATAGACGGAGGAGTTTGGAGAGGCCATGGAGAAAGACTTCCGTACGGCTTCGAGGCGATTCTGGTCCACCATCCGGCGTCTCAGGAGGGGGAAGCAGTGCAGCACCAACACTGTTTATAGTGGGGATGGTGTGCTGCTGACCTCAACTCGTGACGTTGTGTGCAGGTGGGCGGAATACTTTGAAGACGGCCTGTCACGATAACAAATTTTGCTGGGCGATTAATTGTCTCAAAATT